TGACGGTGTCCCAGTCATGTTGTGATGGTGTCTCGCTTGTGTTGTGATGGTGTCCCGGTCATGTTTTGATGGTGTCCCGGTCATGTTGTGATGGTGTCCTGCTCATGTTTTGGCGGTGTGCCGGTTATGTTTTGATGGTGTCCGGGTCATGTGACGGTGTCCCGGTCATGTTGTGATAGTGTCCCGGTCATGTTGTGATGGTGTCCCCGTCATGTCATGCTGGTGTCCCGGTCACCTTGTGATGGTGTCCCGGTTATGTTGTGATGGTGTCCCAATCATGTTGTGACGGTGTCTCGGTCATGTTTTGATGGTGCCCTGGTCATTTTGTGATGGTGTCCCGGTTATGTGATGATGGTGTCCAAGGAAGAGATGGTCGATGTGTTGAAAACAGCAGCTGTTTCCAGATTGTTCTTTTTGTCCCGGTTTGTATCTTGCTATTGGGGTCTCCAGCTGGGCGAATGTTTTTCCTCTTTCTCTCTCTGAGAATCTGAATATTTCGCAGTCAATACATCCTCCAGTCCTTGTGCAGGTCGTCAAGTTTTGGAATTGGTTATCAAGTTATCATGTTTCACGTTTTGCTGCTCATTTGCCGTTGAATTTCTGGTTGGCACCAGCTTACTGGTATGAAACTCCAAGCGCTGCAAGCTCAGCTCAGCAAGGCGTGCAGATGTGGCAGAGCTGTCTGCTAGGAGTGTCAGCCGCTTCCACCACACAGGCTTCAAGCCAAAAGCACCTTGGCAAAAATGTTTGGTGGTCCAGAATTCAGCTGCACCTAGGCTAGAACATCGTTCAGCATCTCAGGTCATGTGCAAGAACATTGCAAAGGGCCACTGCTACAAAGGTGTGAGAAGATGTGAAACCTTTGTGAGACCCGCTAAATCTTCAATTGCATTGTTTGTGTTTCTTAGAGCTCGCTCTTTTACCCTCGGAGAGTTCTGAGGTTTTTGGACTGTCAGGCCTTGTTTGCACCTTCGCACACAGTATGGAAGAGATGGTCTGAGAACAGCGATCTGGCAAATGTGAAGCACTTTGAGCCACTCATACCTGACAGCGACCGTGTTATGTCCAGTCAAAAGAGATGTGGCTTATCGCAGACTCATGTTCCAAGCATTTGCGTTGCACTGCCAGTTCAATTGGCAAACCGTTTAACCAGTGGAGCTATCCAGTGGCCCAAGCAGAACTGGAACCAGAGGACATGCAATCTGGGCATGACACTTAAGGCTTAAGGAACTTTCAACAAGTATACAGTACAGATACCAACGGTGATGTTGAGTTGATAAGAACTGCATCCCTTCTTGAGCGCTGATGGCAGAGTAAACTCCACTGGGCAGCCCCATGGGTGGGTATGAGGCGGTATGAGGAAGTGGATGTCGTGAAGGCAGCTGAGGTGTATTTCAAGAAGTTTGACATCCGCTCTTTGCTGACGGAGATCCTCATAAAGCTTGGGCGTGAGCAGCCGCAGGATCCCGTAAATGCTATCCGAGCTCAATTGGATGCAAAACTTGCCAAACAGGATCGAACAGGGCCACATGACATTGAACATTTGCCCAGCTGTTCGTCACCTGTGGTGCCGGATGCAGATGAAGAACATGATGCTGATGACACCTTACTTCAGGTTGGGCTCATATGTTTCTTGCGCTTAAACTTGTCCAAACAGCTGCCATTCTAATTTGTTTTGTTTTTTCTTTTAGCGAGGGGGCACCTTTGTCTCCTCCACGGACCGTATTTGCGCATGGGCCAGCCGGCACAGTGTTCCAGTGTATGTCAAGACTCCGAGATTGGGGTGCAGCTGTGCTCTCGCTGTGGTGTTCTTGCGTGCTCTGGAGCCAAAAGGCAATTCTTTGTAGCAGGATCAGGCTCCATGTGTTGGTGTTGGAGCTATTGGGTCCGGGTATATAGATTTTGCTGACAGTGCTGACTTTGTGGCAGGCGTAGAACTTGTGAGATCCTGACTAGCTGCGCTGCCGACTAGCTCAGATTACAATTACAATTTGTGGCCTGTGAGGACACCATTGAGTTAGTCTCGCACCTGGCACAATCCCGCCGCCACCACGCGACCACCGTGCCACCATGTACCGCGACTAAGCACGACTGCCAGCACCAGCGGCACCAGTACCGATTTCGTTCCAATGTCTAAGCCGCTGGGCGCTAGGATGTGTTCATATTTTCCTGGTGGATTAGACGCAACACTTTTGGGAACTCTTGCTGCTTGCTCGAACAGCGGCACCGGCATAGTTCTTTTTGGCACTGCGCTCTTCTGAATAGGTTCAACTACATATATGCAAAGTTGCCGCGAGGTAGACCTGCTGCAACTTCTTATTTATGAGAACTTTCCCGCCAAGGGGAATGCTGGCGAAAATCTTTCCAGACGAGCCTGGCCTGCAGGGTGTGTTTCTCAAAACGTGACTACTTCCACAAAGGAGGCGGTCTTTTCTTCATACAAGGTCTTGCAACATCTATGTATGTTGATCAGCGGTCGAATTAAGAAGTCCATTTCGCGTGGCCAGTGTGGGATGGTCAATTGCTGCATCACCCTATCTCCAACAATTAAACGGCTTGTGTTTTGCAGGATTCTACGGTGACAGTGCTGGCAATTTGGAATCTTGAAGAAGAAACACTTGATGCTGTAGAGAAAGGAATGCCGTGTTGAGGCATGGCGTGGGCTGGAGGCTTCAATCGAAGCGTGATGGAGCCGCGTTGAACTTCAATCAGAATGAATGATGTGTGCTCCTTTTGCCTGATGTATGTGTCCGAACGCAAAGGTCAGAAGTGGAACCCCCTCAAAGACCAGTTTTTAAAGCAGCAAGTATTCTTCCATGTTTGCTGGAGGAGGGCCACATGGGCTTTATGAAGTTTTATGATCTTTATGTGTATAGTATACGCATGGATGTGAGCCAGTGACCTGGAGCACGAGGAGAATTGGGTGCCTCAACCCTCTCCGTGTTGCGCATGCGCTTCTGTTGCTGGAGCTTTCAATGCATTGTGGCAGCTTGAGAGGGCTTCACCAAACTCTTGCACTGACCTCAGGTGAAGAGGAGTCCTTAGGAATTCTTCAGGTCGCTGGCAGTGTCACTGGGGTTGCGACATTGGGTTCGATGATTTCATGGTGACCTTGTTTGCCCATGCTGAGGTGCAATTAGGGAGGTGGCAGACTTAATGGCAGCAAATTGTGAACAGTTGCAGCTGCAGAAGCAGCAGCGCCTAGAGACTTGGAACAGAAAATACCTTACAGAATGAGGTTAGTTTGTTTTTGTTGTTGACACCTATGAACTTAGGTAGTCTTAGCTCAAACTATCAGTCCCCTAAGTTCTTTTTTTGGGGTGCAAGTGACCGAACTACAGTATGCCACAAAATAGTGGACACTCAAAATGATGCCCCCGTGCATCCCAAACCATGAACCGATAGGGCCGATAGGGGTCTGACTAATTTACAAAAAGACTTGACGGTGGCTCTTGTGCACCTGTTTGGTGGCTAGATCTCATTGTGGCTCATCTCGCTTCATTTTGGTGCTGAGTCTCGCATTTCTTCACCTTTGCCTGATCCCAGAACAGGCAAAGAGGTTGCCAAGCAATTTGGACAGTCTCACAGAAGCTCTTCAAAGGATCTGAAGTCCTTCAATGGCCTCATTATTATTGTGCTTTTAGTATTGGTATTGAAACTGACAGGAGAGGCTCCTCAGCCTTCCAGAGGGCGCCTTTGAAGAATTCTATGATTCCTTGGATGAAGAACTGCAAAGGAAAGGGCTGAGCTGGACAGGCAGAGGCGCCAAGGCGGGTGAAGAGCAAGAGGCAAAAGTATGCGGAAGGCTTTGCAACATTTCACTATTTTTGTTTATATCATATCTCTTTCTTTGAATCTCGTTTGTTTTTTGGTTGGATCTTGTTTGTTTCTTCTCAGGGTAATTTTGTGATGTTTTTTCGTTAACTTGAGCTACTTTGCTGCAAAGCTTTGCTGGTAAGCTGCGACCTTTTTTCTTATGCAACGTGTGCAATGCTTTGGCCGAGGGCGTGACGAAGGCCACAGCCATCTCAACTGCGAGATTCTTGGCTGGCGCTTGCAGTAGCATCCCATGAGCATCGAGTGTTTGTTCACAACAACTTGCACTTTATATATTGTGGTGTGCCAGTTTTGTCCGAGGACAGGTAGCGAACCAGTTTGGCCAATCTCCCAGCTGTTTTGATGATGGATTTTGTCAAAAAGCCAGTGCAGTGATGGCAGTGAGCGAGCCAGGATGCAAAGACCAAAGTCATGAAGCCTTGTCACCAGAGACCCTACCACCAGCTGCTCGTCAGGCGGCTGCCCTGACTGTCAGTCATGCTGCCCTGCTACCAATTTGGATGCCATACAGTCAGAGCATGAAAAGCTTAGATGCCGAATAAGAAAAACAAAGGACGACCAGCGTGAGCGCACGTTTGGCGCAGGCCTTGCCGTCAGGCAGATCAGACATTTTTGAGGCATTGCGCGAAGTGCTTGGTGAAGACAATGCGCAGGCACCTGGCGAAGCTGAAGAGAACGAGGAGAAGACCATTGATCCATTTTTGTTTGACCTATACTATACTTGATGCTACCCGGAATGGTGGTGAGCTGGAATAATTTTGTGGAGTGCAGGAGCAAGAAGAAATACACCTTTTGCCTCATGAAGGTTTGAACTGGAAGCCCCTTTCCAGCAAAGATGCAATCGCGCCTGCGCATTGCTTTGATCAACGTACCAACCTCATTTTCAAGTCTGAGGAAAGAGCTGTCAGAGTTGCTTTCAAAGCGACAAGGCGTTCTCAGGTGGGCTACCAGTGGTACCTGGTAGGTTGTGCTCTTGTTCTTCGCCGTTTGGCCGGAGAGGCTTGCTGATTGTTCAGGCTGCGGGCGGAGCGGCCAAATACTGCAGATGTTGGAAGCTTTGGCGTGCGGCAAGCGGCAGAACAATTGGCCATTGCGCGAAAGACGGAGCTTGAGCAACTTGAGCTATTTGCATGGGAAATGCCATGGCACAAACCCCGCTGTGTGTTGCACGAACGAACTTGTGCTTGAATGAAGTGAAAGAGCCTGGCAGGAGCCGATCAAAGTTACCACTCTGCTGGCCCGAAAGGGCAGTGTGAAGTCCATCGGAGCTCCGTTGACCAAATCTGACACAGAGGCAGAGGTGCACAAGCAGTGGTGTCTTTTGAAGACGGCATTCAGTACACCAAGCTGCGCGACTTGGCATGCTGTTTCCTGTCACTTGCTCTTTGTCAGGTTTGTTGCTGTAAGTGGTGAGGTTCTCCTTTTCCATTTGACCAACCATTATGCGCTGGTGTTCGCATGGCGGGAGTGGCAGGATGCCCAGGACCCGTCATCTTTCACTCAAAGTCAGACAATCCTTACGTTATAAACGTTTGTTTACACCATTTTACAACCTGACCACTGGAGTCAGTCTCAGGACACTGAGCATGCCCCTTGCCTCCGCCGGCAGATCTTGACGGCGCGGCGTGGGCAACGGCCTGGCGCATGGATGGACTTCGAGGAGGTTAGGAGGATCTTGCTGCTTGTCTCAATTTATATATTGTTTCTAATAGCTTCTTGTTACTACTAGTAAGGCCCTTGTTACTAGTAGCGATGCACTTGTTCCTAATAGCGGTGAGTGACATTCAAGTTTCAGGGTTCAAAGGTTCCCAGAGTGAGGGCGTCCCATGGTCAGATGCAGGGCAGTCTGAGCAGTTTGAGCGTTCGGAGGCTGGGTTGGACAGGGTATCATTTGCTGTCGCTACGGCGAGTTAGAAGCTCCGAGCCAGCCCGTGAAGTGGCGGGAAGTTTATGTCAGGACCCGCCTTCCGCGCAATAGTGTAGTGGCAAGATTTTGCCATTCGGGCTTGAATCGCACCCGCAGAGGTCCTGGTGCACTTTGATCACCGAATTCATGGACCATGGATTCTAAAAAATGCGGCGGATGCTGCCGTCTGACATGAGAAATGCCATTGCCGGTAGTCTTGCATGTAACTGCCGTTCCTAGCTCCTATTTGAAGCGCTCATGCCAGGGCGGAACAGCAGGAGTTGAAGGACAGTGTAGCGAAGCACGTGAGGCCAGGCTGCAGAGCAAGAAGACATTAGCCAAACAGGAAACTAGAACATTGCTAGGCAGACAGTGCAAGCTGACGACGATGAGCCAGACATTTTGGTTTCCTTCTCAGTGGAAGGAATTGAAATAAAGAGGGATCTAACGGCTTTCTAGTTTCTAGAAGCTTCAAGTGGATTGTGATCTCCTGAGGCTGAATTCATTTGTGTTCTGCTAGATCAGCTTCCTGCTTAGTTCCTTCTTGTGGCAGTCTCGTAGTGGTGCATGCTTGGCCGTGCACTTGTCATTAAATATATACTCTCGTTGCTGCCAAGACGGAAGTCAAGTGCCGATATGCTTGAAGAGTTGTCGGTGATGGACGATGAGGCACATGTGAATGTAGAGCATGCATTATTGGATAGAACGCCTGTCAGATTGCAATAGGAGGCAATTTATCCGATTTGAGGTGGTTTGAGAGGCACCTGTAAGCTCTTCATTTAAGGCCCAGCCCTTTGTCACATGGTTGGAGAAGGAGAAGGCCAGATGCAACACTTGAAACCGGCCGTACAGAGTCTGTATCTCTGAGTGCTTGGGAATAGAGGCAAGAGGATTCCTCATAATGCAGTGCACCTACTGAGGCTTCTTTGCTTGCGAGACGGACACAAAGACCCGTCCGGGAGCATCGTCGACGAGATCTGCAGAGAGTGGAGGACCAGCGAGATAATTGGACAAGGGCTTTGTGAGACTGAAGTTAAGTTTCCCAAAAGATCTAGGAACCAAATGAATAATGCCACCGCTTCTTCAAGGAGGCTCCCCCGCCTGAGCTTCCTAGAAAAAGGGTGAGCTATCTTGCGTCCACTTTCTAGTGCTTAAGTAGCTAGCTGCTAGCCCTAACTTACTTAAGTAGCCGCAACTTAGCTAAGCAAGAGCGGGAAAAGAAAGGAGAAGCAAAACCAAAACAGAAACGACAAGAACAGAACATACCAGAGGAGATACGCTTTTGATCCGCAAGGAAGTCCCAGACAAGCCACCTGGTCAATTCACGCTGGACCCCAAGCGCAAAATCGAAACTTCATTGACCGACTCACTGTATGTCACTGCCTAACCATCGCTCGTTGTATCGATATGTATCGATTGCTTTTCATGGGCATCCATCTGAACAAGATAGAACAGGATTACTGTAACTGTACAGTAGACTGTAGGGCACTGTAGGGCTAGGATTCGGAAAGGTTAGGGCTAGGGAACGGCTTTTTTTGCTTTTCCTCCATTGCTCCTGCTCGGCTTAAGCTGGAGACGGGACAGCAAGGCCGCCACCTCGTTCTGCTTTGCTAATGTCGCCCGGCTTTAGAACTAGACACTGGAGTTTTGTGACACCAATGTGTAGTGGGTGGCCTACTTCCTACAGGCCAAATGCTGTCACGGCTTCATTGGAGGAGTCGGCGAAGGCCAAGATTATTCTTCCTACGAGAGGCCAGCCCAGCACCCCTGTCACAGGCAAGCCAAGATCGAGGGCTGGTGGTTATCACCAAGCGCCTCATTCTTCAGTCGGAGGCTCAGGACTGAAGATTCGATCTCCTAGTTATCGGGATGCAGGTTACTAGGGTGTAGTATGCCATTTTGCTAAGGCCAAATTGTGGGCACAGTGCGCCTGGCACGTATTGCATCCAAGCAGCGTTTATTTGGCAAACAAATTTGATCCTGACCGCCTGACCGAGCGTGGGGCAATTATGGCAGATCGGGGCTGCCAACCAAGGCTGCTAAACCAAAACGACACCCAAACGGCTGCTGTTTGCTAGAAGTAACATGAAGTACCAAAGGCCATCCCACCCTGGAATCACAAGAAATGGACGTGGACATGGACTTGCACATGAACGCACGCGCGACGACTTTTTCCTCACCGTGAACCCATTCCCCGCACTCAGTTGGTAAAAACTATTTTCCAGACCGACTCCCAGACAAGATCAAGTTATGGCAACATGCCATATGCACAGCAGCATAGAAAGACATTGGACCAAGTTCAGATAATAACAAGGGCTCTATATATACAGACTGTTTGCCTTTGTGTGCAGGCGCAGCTGATCTTCGTTTTTCAATCAACATTCAATTCTATTCAAGGCCTAACACAGGTACATTTGCATGTACGCTCGTGTACGCTCGCACGTTCACCCTCACGCTACCTTGTATGTGTGTATGCTTGCTACTGCGCAAGCCACGTTCAAAACACTGCTCGCCCCCCACGTTCACTTTCACATGTTTTATCTTATCACAGACTCGACGCCGATCCAGACATCACGCAGGCAGCAGAAAGACCGCGAATAGTCAGCGGGACGCTGGGGTGGTTTGTCTGGACTGAGTCCAAGAGACCACCAATGAGCAGACCACCAACCGAGGAATCACTTTCTTGGCCGAAAAGGGTCAGCCACACACTACCAATCGGGTTATATAATAAGGATCCCAAGATCAGAACAATCAAAGCCACCAGACAGTGACAAAGTATATAGTGCCCAAAAAACTGATTGAAGGAGTCTCTGCGCAGTCGTCATCAGCAGGCGAATAAGATGATGTCGATGCGACACCAACTCCTGCTTAGAAGAGCTTTTGAAATAGGGAAGGGCAATATCTGATTTTACAACTTACAACCAGCAAGAAAACAAGCTCAACCCAGCTAGTGGCATATAAGAGCCTAAACCACCAACCTCTCAAACAAAGCAATAAGCCATTGAGGTCGCAAATCGAGAGATAATTGAATTTCAAAAAAGCAGCCACTTGCAGCCACTCGAGTGGCCGCAAGTGGCCGCTCCCCAAAAAACACACAGCAAGTGGCCGCAAGTGGCAAGTGGCCGCAAGTGGCCGCTATAGTAAGAGCAGGTTCAAGTGAAACTTTCCTTTTTCCAAGATGGAGAGCAGGGATGTCATCAAATCTTGAAAAAATACGGAGCTAGAGTTTTTCAATATTTTTTCAAGATGGAGGCCACTTGCAGCCACTTGCGGCCACTCGAGTGGTCGCACGTGGCCGCTATAGCAAGAGTACCCAAACATAGAAGAAACGGAGCCCCATGCAAGGGAGTATCCAAATAAGGATGAAGAGGACCGGAACGAAACAGAGAATTCCATCGCAGAGGGAAAGGACTCAAATGAAGGAAAGACTCAAACGAAGTAGGAAAGATTCAAAGGAAGAAGGAAAGGAATCAAACGAAGGAAAGAGTCGAACAAAGTAGGAAAGATTCAAAAAGCGGAAAAGGCAAGAGTCAAACAACATAGGAAAGATTCAAAGGAAGAAGGAAAGGAATCAAACGAAGGAAAGAGTCCAACGAAGATCTGCAGGCAGGAAGCCTGCGAATTCTCCAAAAAAAACAAAAGATATTTTTTCAAGTTCTGTAGACACACAGACTGCTCGCGTGGAACCACAAGCACGCAGCGACTGGCAGCCACTTGCGGCCACTCGATGTGGTCACAAGCCCGCAGCCACTTGCAATCACTTGCAGCCAACTTGCAGCCACTAGCTGTGGTCACAGGCCCGCAGCCACTTGCAGCCACTCGAGTGGCCGCAAGTGGCCGCTTCCCAAAGGTGGCCGCAAGTGGCCGCTTGCACCAAAATCAAGTTCCTTCTGAGAAACAAACCTGAGCACTGCAAATCTGGGGCAATGTGCTCAGCTCAAGTTCCACTCAGCTGCGCAGCAGCAGGGTCCAGAACAGCCTTGAAGAAGCGCAGCAGCAAGCGCACTCGCCATAGCTCTTGTTCATGAAAAACACCTGCCGGTGGTGCCAATTGGGGTTGTGTGTCGGCAAATTGCTTTTGGAAACCAGAGCTAAAAGGCCGACAAAGGAAGCTTGGCAAAATCGTGAAAGACTTTCCAAACGAGTTCAAGTGACGATGCAGCCGGGCGATGGTGGTATGATCAGCAACTCCTCCCTCAAACACTGGGCTTTGTCCACCCAGCCGCAAGTGAGAACATGACAACGTGTTCTTGTCAAGCTATCCACCGATGGCTGCCCCAAGAAACTCAGGCCCCGCTCCCACAGCGCTTGAGCCAGTGCATAGTTCTGCCACCGCATCAGAAAATGCTAAGGGGGAGGAATGACAAGGGATCACGTCATCCTGGAACAGCTGGATGGCAAAAGGCTCCACATCAAGGGCCTTAGCAGCATCAGCGGTGAAGCGATCAGGATGCATCGCAAAATAGCAAGCAAGTGAGGTCAGCAAGCACGCGCACCACGGAGCAGCCATCATCAACGCGGCCCACCAGTGCAAAGGCGGCAGCAACAGAGAGGGTCTACACGGCACGGACATCCGAACTTTAGTTGACACAGCCGCACTACCCTGGTAAGCTTCGGGCCGACGACTCACATGTTTTATCTTGAAAGCTTGACAAAATCCTGTTCAGCCCAGGAAGTAAAGTTCAGCAAGACCAGAAACTCTGTTACCTGAGCTCAGCGGAAGGAATAAACATTTGAATCAACACCTCGCTCAGCCCTGAAAGTATATACGGTAATGCAAAACCCTAAGCATCCCAAGCCCTGAAGTTTTTGAGCTCAGACGGGGAAAGAAGGCAGAAGGCAAGATCTCGCTCAGCCCCGGAATGAATGGAAGACTTGCTCTTCCCTGGACATAATGCAAATCCTAAAGTTCTGGACTTAGCGGAAAGGTAGACTGAGATGCGTGCACATACCATCTGCTCCTGTTGTAGCTCTTGCGTTTGCGGTGAGTTTTGGTGCACCGGGAGTGAGTGTGATCGACAGAGGCCAAGGCCCAATCGGGATGGAACACCTGGAGCATTTGAGCATCCTTGAGCCAGTGACCGCATTTGCACCGGCACCACATATGAGTTTTCTTCAGAGTCTACTAGGTAAGAGGATGCTTGGTTTCTGGCAGGGCCTGACGCAGCTTGGGAGGCGGAGCGAGGCTCGATTACACGACGCGCATCCTTCTCCTTTCGCCTTTGTCACGAGATGCCGCATGCTTTGCTGCTTGCTCAAACTTTGGATTCAAATGACAGTGGATCATAGCCGTAGTCGTGCC